TTTTAGCCAAGAATATTAGTTATTACTATTTTCCCAAAATAAAACGTTGATCTCCGGATCGGGTATTTTCCAAGTGTATATATACTATTAAGTATTTCTTAACTTGGGGGAAAGGACTATTTATATAAGTATCACCCTACGTTTGGGTCTTATACTTGAAACGATAGTTATTCTATATTTAGCCTGCTACTCGCTCGGTACTTGTACTGACCCCTTCGTGGGCCCCCACCATTTTCAGGTTGAAACTCGACCTTGCTACCTGCACCTTTCTACGGGTGACATCAAATCAAGGAAGACGTGGTTCGTGCTTCCTCGTTTTCTTTCAAATTACCAAACATTGCTCATGGATATTTTTAATTGTTATAAACTACTTTTGGCTTGCATGCCCATGTTATTGGCCGGATGTGGCCTATGAATTACCGCTGAATATTTCCGCTATTCAGTGGTTTAATTGTGATGTTTGTTATGTATGTTTACTACTGAGTATGGATGGATTGTTTTCTTGAACGCCTTGTATGATTAAGTGAGGTTGACCTGCGGGTGACGTCACTCGATTATACAGCGGTTGTACATGCGCTTAGATTGCGGTCTGGGGCGTAACAGACCCTGTCAATTTAAACAATAGAAGAACGTTAGTCTTCATGCACACATTTCACAATGTAGATAAGCAAATCGTGAAGCGTGTAGTATCCAAAAAATTAAAACAAAACACGGAGAAAATCACAGGTTGGGTATATGTATCAGTAAAAGTTGCTGACTCGCGCATTACACCATAAACATAGTGAGTATACCAAGCACCATAATGCACACATCCATGGTTCTAAATATCGGTTCGCAACACATGATGTGGCCATAATGCACAACCGCATCGGCCCACTATACCGGCGGGAATTCGAATCACAAGGCAAATCCGCAATGTAAACCGCAACGAAACTACATTATGGGCGCATCGGGGCACATCAAGCCGCATCCACAAGCAATCAGCCACATCCAGTTGCATGAATATGTCTTTCCGTTCTTTAATTTCTTCATCACATTATACGCCACTTCCCATCTTTTTCTTTTTTTTCCACAACACACCAAGATCAGATGCAAGAAAAAAGATTGCAGTGAACATGGAGATGAAATATTAATGTGTATCTCTTATCTCTTTCCCCTACTTGACTAGGCTTCTGTGGTCAGTCTTGTTGAGTAAACTTATTTGTTTCATGTGTTTTTTCTTTTCATTTATTTAATTGCTAAGTAATTATGTAAATAGGCATTATGCACTTGTGCATGTAGTGGTGTGAGTGTGTAGTTTTTTGTAGGAGGTAGTGGAGTATGAGTGTGTATTTTGTTGACCAAGGCAGAATGGAGGGCAAGAAAATCAAAAGAAGGATGGAGGCTGATAGTGGAGTAAAACTCAAATGCTTCAGGACTGACAGAGGAGGGGAGTTTACTTCTCAAGTTTTTATGGCCTTTTGTGAAAGTGGAGTAAAGAGACACCTCACTGCACCTTACTCACCCCAACAAAATGGGGTAGTAGAAAGGAGAAACCAAACTGTCATGGAAATGACAAGAAGCATGATGAAGAGTAAGCAAATACCTACAAAATATTGGGGAGAAGATGATGATACTGCTGTGTACCTGCTAATTAGAAGTCCAACAAAAGGTCTAGAAGAAAAAACACCATATCAATTTTGGTATGAGAGAATTCCAAATGTTAGGCACCTAAGAGTATTTGGTTGTGTGGCACACATCAAGAAAACAACACCTCATTTAAACAAACTGGAAGATAGAAGCAGAAAAGGAATTCTTCTGGGATATGAGGATGGCACCAAGGCTTATAGACTACTGGATCCAATGATGGAATGAGTGATAATCAGTAGAGATGTAAAATTTGATGAAGGAAAAGCTTGGAGTTAAGATAGTCACCAAGGAAGTAATCAGGAGGAAGAGGGGGATGTTTTTGCAGTTCACATGCCAAAAGAGAGGGGAGTTATGAACACAGAAGATCATATGTCAAATTCATCTGAAGGAGGTGATTTACATGATCACTCCTATCAAGTCTTATCTCACAACACCTCAAGCTCTAGCGAACCTCTGAATTTCAGATCCTTACAGGACATTTATGATGCCACAAGAGAAGTGATTGAAGAAGTAAGTTTGTGTTTTCTATGTGTAGATGAGCCAGAAGACTTTAAGGAAGCTATGGAGAAAGCGGAATGGAGACAAGCAATGGTAGTGGAACTTGATTCAATCAATAGGAATCAAGCTTGGGAACTTGCAGATCTGCCTAGAAACCACAAGGCCATAGGTTTGGAAATGGGTCTACAAAGTGATAAAGGATCCAAAGGGAAACATCACAAAATACAAAGCACGACTTGTGGCTAAGGGGTATGCTCAGAAACTCGGAGTGGACTATATCAAGAATGGAAACAATAAGAACCATTCTTGCTATATCAGCACAGAGAGTATGGGAGGTGCATCATATGGATGTCAAGACAGCCTTTCTAAATAGAGAGCTAAAGGAGGAAGTGTACGTATTGCAGCCAGAAGGGTACATGGATGAGAAGTATCCACAGAAGGTACTGAAACTACATAAATCCCTTTATGGTTTAAAACAAACTCCTAGAGCTTGGAATGACAAACTAGATAGATGCTTAAAATCCATGGGTTTCAAAAGATGTGTGTTTGAGTATGGAGTTTATGTAAAGGAAAAAGGTATACAAATCACAATTGTTGGGGTTTATGTTGATGACCTGCTAATAACAGGCTCGTGTTCTAAGCTCATTCAAAACTTCAAGGATGAAATGATGAGAATTTTTTAGATGAGTGATCTGGGGTTGCTTTGTTATTATTTAGGGATTGAAGTAAAACAAGATTGGAAATCAATAAGCATATGTCAGTCACGATATGCAAAGAAGATCATTGAATGAATGGGAATGGGAGATTGTGATCCATGTTGCATACCTATGGAACCTAGAAGCAAGTTGAGTAAAGCTGATGAGGGATATTCAGTGGACCAAACCATGTATAGAAGCATTGTAGGGAGTTTGAGGTATCTTGTTAACACACGTCCCGATTTGGCCTATTCAGTGGGGATTGTTAGTAAATATATGGAGGCTCCAACAGTCACTCATATGAATGTTGTGAGGCAGATCATCATATACATAAAAGGTACATTGGACTTGGGATGTGTTTTCCAGAAATGGGAAGGAAATGAAGGTTTAATAGGGTACTGTGACAGTGACTTGGCTGGAGACGTGAATGATAGAAAGAACACAATAGGAATCTTGTTCTTCTTTGTAAACAACCCAATCACTTGGGTATCTCAAAACCAGAGAATAGTGGCACTACCTTCTTGCGAGGCAGAGTATATTGCAACTACAGGAGGGGCCAACCAAGGTATTTGGCTTATGAAGCTGATTGAAAGTTTACAGGGAGAGATGGAGAGAAAACCAACACTGAAGGTGGACAATAAGTCAGCCATAGCATTGGCTAATTAATAATCTAGTGTATCATGACCGCAGTAAACATATCGACACCCGGTTTCATTTCATTCGTGAATGTGTTGAAAAGGGAATGATCAAGCTTGAGTATACTTCAACAGAAGTACAACTTGCTGATATCTTAACAAAGCCTTTTGGGAGACAAAGGTTTGTTGAGTTAAGAGAGAAAATGGGAATGTGAAGCTTAAAAGAAGGAAAATAAGTTTAGGGGGGTGATTGTTGAGTAAACTTATTTGTTTCATGTGTTTTTTCTTTTCATTTATTTAATTGCTAAGTAATTATGTAAATACGCATTATGCACGTGTGCATGTAGTGGTGTGAGTGTGTAGATTTTGTAGGAGGTTTTTTTAGCCCACTTATATTGTAACCACCCATCCCACTCCTATAGTCTATAAATAGGAGAGCCAAAGGGGATGTTTTGTGTGCAATTAAGACGGTTTTTCCTTCTGCAAATTCAAAGATCTCAACTCTCCTCTATGACACTTTGATCACACACAATATCAAAATCAGTCTGCAAATGCAGCATGCTACATGCATGTACGTAGTGTGTAGTAAACCAATGCATGATATATATATATATATATATATATATATATATATATATATATATATATATATATATATATATATAACAAGTCTTGGGCTGAGAGTAGAAGGTTTGGTTGTACGATGGATGTATATGTGAGGTTGTGCTTATGTCTTTTTGGTGAGAGGATATGAACATTATCCGAAATGAGGCTTATAAATCATCCATTTCTTTTAAGAAAAATATAATTATGGAAACATTTTTTCTGTTTGAAAAACCTTTTAAGGATGGAAGTCTTTTTTGTTACTTAAATTACCCCGAATAAGTGTAAAAATAATACTACTGTGTAATTCTGTTTTTGACAAACATATAACATGAAATTCCGAAACATGATTTCTGTATGATTTCCTAAATGCGAGTAATCTTTGCAAGTTGTAATCATTGAAAATATGACGAAATATAACATTAACATTGTCATATAAATGTCTGTAAATGTTAAAAAATGTTTGCATGATTCGATGATGGCAATATTTTAATGATATTTAGGAAAACAAACATAACTCCTTTATGTTAAATATAATTGATAGAAGATTTCCCAAAGAATGCAAAAAAAAATTATATTCCTATTTTATGCGAACATGAAAATATCTCACGTTGCAGCGGCCGCAATATGCATTGCAGCGGCCGCGGTATGCATCGCCAGGGGCGGAGGCATGTAGTAGGTTAGGGGAGCATCCCCCCTAGTTTTTTTCAAATATTACTATTAGAAATTATTTGGGGGAGGGGGTTAAAAAATTATGAAGGCAATTAGGCAGCCGTAAGTCTCTGTATTTTTAGATTTTATATTTTAAATTTTATATTTGGGAGATTTGAAGTTTTAGTCCTTTAACTTTTGGTTGTCCCCATTATTAGTCCCATAACTTTAATCACATGCTAATTAGATCCTCTAACTAATAGGTCTTTGTAGTTTAAGGATATCTCACCGGAAAGTACATTTTATGGCAAAAAAATCAACATTGGTGGCATATTTTGCGGTTAATTATCTGTAAGAAAGTGTACTTTCCCGTGGGGAAGTATTTAAATTGCAAAAAAATCTTAAATACATGAGCAGATTTATGAGCAAGTGAAGTATTAGGACTAAAAACGGTCATAAAAAATCTCACCATCACAACCTGGCAACCATGCATCCGCCCATACTTGGACGTTAATTCCATTGCCTACTCTCCTCCGAATATTGTTCCTCAAAATTTCCTGTCTCAAAAATACTCCTCCACACTAAAGAAGGGTTACTACCCATTTTAGCACTAAGGAAATCCGAGTTTGGAAAATACCTTGCTTTCATGATCCTCCCCATTTAGCTGTTTATGCCATTGATTAATCTCCAACCCTGGTTTGCTAACATAATCAGATTGAACTCTCTGAGTCTTCTAAACCCCAACCCACCTACTTTGGTTGGTTTGCAAAGATTTTCCCAACTTCTCCACCTCATCCCTTTCTGATCCACCTTTGATCCCCTCCACCAAAAACCATTCATCAGCTTCTCTATACTCTCACATAAATCCTTTGGCAATAAAAATACATTCATTGCATAATTGGGCATCGTCTGAATAACATTTTTGAGTAGGACCGCACGCCTAGCTCTAGACAGAAAACGATTGTTCCAACTATTAATTCTAGCATATATACGGTCCTTTATGTAACCAAAAATCGCCCCTTTATTCCGCCCCACCATTGACGGCAAGCCCAAGTACCTCCCCTGATCCCCATCTGAAAAAACTCCCAAAATTTATCTACAAATAACTCTGGTCTGATCTGCCGTATTCGGACTACAATTGATTGAGGACTTTGAGAAATTGACCATCTTTCTGGATAACTCCTCATAGTTGTTTAGGATCTTCTTAACCATGTCGCATTCACCAGGGGTTGCTTTGAAAAATAAAAAACTATCATCTGCAAAAAATAAATGTGATACCTTCGATGCACCTCTTCAAACCGCCACACCATGTATATCCCCCTACCTTCGGCTTTCCTTAGCAACGAACTCAGTCCCTTTGCAACTAGAATAAAAAGATAAGGTGATAAAGGGTCTCCTTGCCTTAGTCCTCTTCCTGGAGTTATCATGTCACGCCCCGGACCGCATCCGAACCACGTAGACAACCGCCGTACAACCCGATAAGAACAACAACAGTTCATCCCTATTGAGTTGTACAAGGCGTCCGATTGATCCTATTGCCAAACCGATTAGTAAACACATACAATCAACATCAATATCATAATAAAACAAATGCGGAAATAATAAAATGTTTGATACTTAGCCACACGTGGCAAACATGGGCACGCAGGCCCCCAACTGTTTTGATGAAAATATTGTTCAAAAATCCATGAGCGGTTTATACATTTGAAATAAGAATGGAAGCACGAACCACGTCTTCCTTCTCGATCAGTCACCCTAGGCAAAGGTGCAGGTAGTAGGGCTCTAGCCTCAACCTGAAAAATGTGAGGGCCCCCGGAGGGGTCAGTACTCCATAGAAGTACTAGTGACAAGCAGGCTATATGAAGAATAACTAATGTTTCAGACACGAGACCCAAAAATAGGGTGATACATATTTATATATATATATATATATATGTGACTCATTCATCCGATGATACATACTGTATATATATGTAAAATACTCGACCCGTAGGTCATTTCATTCAAAGAGTCTTTTAGAGATAAAGTTCTTACCTGACCTTTCTCACCCTTTTCCCGAATGCCTAGCTCACCAGCTACATTCTACATTCATAATATCCTACCGAGTTTTGGGAGCACTTAGCATCCCGAGGATACTCAACCCCAACCGAGTTTCAGGATCATTAAATGTTCCGGGGATGCTCAACCCCAACCGAGTTTCAGGATCATTTGTAGTCCCGGGGATGCTCAACCCCAACCGAGTTTCAGGATCATGTATGGTCCCGGGGATGCTCAACCCCAACCGAGTTTCAGAATCATTTAATGTCCCGGGGATGCTCAACCCCAACCGAGTTTCAGGATCATTTATAGTCCCGGGGATACTCAACCCCAAACTAAATCCTCACCAAACCCTAACCTGGATATGGCTAACCTTTCGTTCCTTCAACTATGGACAATACCTAGCCCTATAGTCATATAATCATCCTTAGGAACCAATGCGGGCGGGTCCCACTTGAACGGCCCACATTAACTCGCTCAAAATTGTCCGTTTTGAGCATAACCCAATACTCGATCGAGTATTAACCCATACTCGGTCGAGTACAGGAGACAGTAGTCTACAAGGTTGGTTTTCAACAAATACCCGGTCGGGTATGTGTCAATACCCGGTCGGGTATGGCAGTTGACTTGGTGGTCAACGCCCGTTTGACCACCCAAACGGAGTCCGATTAACTTGAAATTTTATACACATTTACTTCTTGATGTCCTTGATCCAAAAATACCATTTTGGACCCCTGGATCATCACACAAAATGTGTTATCACATTTTTAATCACCAAACCTACATAACATGCTTTTCAACTATGTTTCATGCAAAATCATGGCATAAGCAAATACTTGATTATCTTTAATCATTCCAAAAAACATATCCTTGATTACTTTAGGTAATCTCATGCCTCACGCAAAAGTTATAAAGCATAAAGCCGTCTTCTCACCTTAATGAAGCTTATGAAGTTCTAGCCTTCCCGATTTAGCTCCGACGAAACTCCGGCGAACTTCAACGAACTCCGGCGACAACTCCGGCGACCTTTTCAACCCCGTGAAAGTTCCTTGAATACCTTAGACAAGTTACTAACAAGGTTTTATCATCATAAAACCCACAGTAATACAAATAACCTCAAAAAGGTTATTTTCCGGCGAACCGGTCACTTTGGCTTCTAAGTCCGTTCTTGGACTTAGAACTACCTTCCAACCCCTCTTTCTACACATCCCAACGTGTAGAACGTTACTAGGGTGTGAAATATGATTGAATAATCATAAAAGAGTATTGAAGAACAAGAAATGGGATTAATGGAGTCCTTACCTTGCTAAACACAAGTTTTTCCTCTCCAAAACCAACTTTTCTCTTCTCTATTCCCTTCCTTCTTCCTCCCCTTGCTTTGTGCGAAAATGGTGGATGAAAAATGGAGTTTTAGCAGAGCTTCTCTCCCTATGATTGAGGTCTGGGTCGAGTGGATGAGGTGTGGGGGGTGAGGATGGTTCCTTCTTTTGGCTCATTCATAATAATGTGGGAGGAGGGCCCCTTTCTTTTCTCATCTTGTCTCCCACTCATCTCCAGCCTCAATCAGCAGCATTAGGTGCGGCTCCCTTTGACATTTGCAGCACCAAATTCGTGGGGTGGCCCCCTCTCATGTGGGAGTCCATCCCTATATGTTCCCAAGTGTACAATCGGTCCCGAAAGTTGTATTTTCCGAACTGTTTTAAGTATATTTTATTTTATCGGGTCAAATAAAATATAACACTTGTTCCCAATCCTTATTGGACCTTAGGATCAATATTCATTCTCCAACTTTAATTTACAAGTCTCCGAAATCCCTTTTCGGGCTGTTATCTAATAAATTGCTGATACCGATAATTTGGCCCGTTTGACCAACCGGTCAACCTTGTGCCATTGTCATGGCCCAATTAGAATATCCACCACCATATACATATTATCTAATCCAAGATTAATATAATATGTGGTCCCGATAATATCGGGCGGCCCCACATCCGGTGTGGGCCCCACGTGAATTTTACTATTCACGTAATAGAAATGATAAAAATTTTACAATCACGTAAAAATGCTTTTATACATTTCTCAAGGTTCAATACATAATTTGGTACAATACGAATACTCGGGGGCGGTGTTACAAGTTCTACCCCCCTTATTTGGGATTTCGTCCCCGAAATCCATGTGTCTAATCAAACAGAAATGGATATTGTTCCCTCATTAGGGTCTCCACTTCCCACGTTTGCTCCTCGACACGATCACTCTTCCAAAGTACCTTTACCATCGGCACCTCTTTGCTCCTTAACTTCTTTACCTGCCGGTCTATGATCTTTACCGGCTGTACCGTATAATGTAGGTCTTCTCGGATTTCTACCGGTGGCTTCTCAAGAATATGTGACGGGTCCCGCACATACTTTTTGAGCATAGAAACATGAAATACATTGTGAATCTTTTCTAATTCTGGGGTCAACTGAAGTCGGTATGCTACAACCCCAATCCTTTCAAGGATTTTGAACGGACCTATGTATCGTGGGTTAAGCTTACCCCGACTGAGGAACCTGATGATCCCTTTCCAAGGTGATACCCTCAGAAATACCTCGTCACCAACCTCAAACTCTAACGTCCTCCGACGTTTATCAGCATAGCTCTTCTGCCGGTCTTGGGCAGCCTTGAGCCTATCCTGTATGACTTTTATCTTCTCCTTAGTGATCTCGACTAACTCGGTGCCCTCGAGCTTAGCCTCGCCGACCTCATCCCAACACAATGGTGTCCGGCATTTCCTCCCATACAATGCCTCGTATGGGGGCATGCCTATACTTGCCTGATAACTGTTGTTATAGGCGAATTCTACTAAAGCCAACTGATTGTCCCAGCTCCCCTGGAACTCCAAGGCACATGCCCTTAACATGTCCTCCAAGATCTGAATCACTCGTTCAGATTGCCCATCCGTTTGAGGATGAAACGCGGTGCTAAACCTCAATTTCGTACCCATGGATTCCTGGAACTTAGGCCAAAACCGTGATGTGAACCGTGGGTCTCTATCCGATACTATAGTAACCGGAACCCCATGCAGTCTCACAATCTCATCTGTGTACAATTTGGCCAACCGCTCGAGCGTATAGGTAGTGTTGATAGGTAGGAAATGAGCGCTCTTGGTCAGCCTATCGACTACCACCCATACTGCGTCGTAGTTCCTAACCGTCCGTGGTAGACCCACCACGAAGTCCATGGTAACATGCTCCCACTTCCATTCTGGAATGGTAAGTGGTTGTAGTAACCCTGCTGGGTGTTGGTGCTCTGCCTTAACCTGTTGACAAGTAAGGCAACGGCTCACGTATTCTGCAATTTCTCTCTTCATCCCTGACCACCAGTAACTTTCCTTCAAATCCCGGTACATCTTTGTACCGCCCGGGTGCATGGCATACGCAGATGAGTGAGCCTCCTCAAGGATAGATTTTTGGAGCTCCTCATCCGATGGTACACAAACTCGTTCCTTGAATAGTAGAAGTCCATCTTCTCTCTCACGGAAACCCTCGACGGGCCCCACAAGCATCCGTTCCCGGATTTTCTGAAATTCCTCGTCATTGCCTTGGCGTGCTCTGATTTCATCTAATAAGGTGGGTCTCACCTCAAATCTGGCCAATAGCGCCCCATCCGTGGATACCTCCACGCGTGCCCTTAGTGCCCGTAAGCATGTGAGTAAAACCCCTGATGATGAGCTCTTTCTGCTCAGTGCATCAGCTACAACATTAGCCTTGCCTGGATGATAGTCAATGATCAAGTTGTAATCCTTAATCAACTCCATCCATCTCCTCTGTCTCATGTTCAACTCTTTCTGAGTGAACACATACCTCAAGCTCTTGTGGTCGGTGTAGATGTGACACAACTCCCCGTAGAGGTAGTGCCTCCAAATCTTCAATGCAAATACCACAGCACCTAGCTCCAGATCATGTGTGGGGTAGTTTACTTCATGCTTCCTCAACTGCCGAGAAGCATAAGCAATTACCTTCCCTGATTGCATCAGTACACATCCCAGTCCCTGAATGCTAGCATCGCTGTAGATGTCATACCCTAACCCTTGCACGGGCAAGGCAAGCACTGGTGCTTCGGTCAAACGTTTCTTTAGCTCAAGAAACCCCTTCTCACACTTGTCATCCCACATAAACTTAGCCCCCTTTTTAGTGAGCTTCGTGAGTGGAGATGCTATCACCGAGAACTTTTCCACGAATTTGCGGTAATACCCCGCTAAACCGAGGAAACTCCTTATCTCCTTCACGTTCTTGGGCCTCTCCCAATTAGTGACCGCCTCAATCTTGGAGTTATCAACTGAAATGCCCGAGCCCGATACTACATGCCCGAGAAAACCGATCTCCCCAAGCCAAAATTCACATTTAGAGAATTTGGCAAAGAGTTGCTTCTCCCGCAGTGTTTCAAGCACAAGCCTTAGATGTTTTTCGTGTTCCTCTTCATTTATGGAGTATATCAAAATGTCATCAATGAACACTATGACGAACTGGTCTAAGTATTGGTGAAATACTCGGTTCATGAGGTCCATGAATGCCGCGGGGGCGTTCGTAAGCCCAAACGACATTACTAGAAACTCATAGTGACCATACCGCGTGCGGAATGCACTTTTGGGTATGTCACTCTCCTTGATCTTCAGTTGATGGTATCCTGACCTCAAGTCAATCTTAGAGAACACCGTTGCCCCCCGTAGTTGATCAAACAAGTCATCGATCCTTGGCAAAGGATATTTGTTCTTTATCGTGACCTTGTTCAACTGACGGTAGTCGATACACATTCTGAGTGTACCATCCTTCTTCTTTACAAATAGTACCGGTGCTCCCCATGGTGAATGACTCGGCCTGATGAATCCACTGTCCAGCAATTCTTCCAATTGCACCTTCAACTCTTGAAGTTCAGCCGGTGCCATCCGATATGGAGGGATCGAGATGGGTTTTGTACCGGGTTCTACTTCAATGGTGAACTCAATTTCTCGATCTGGTGGGAGTCCCGGGAGTTCTTCAGGGAAAACTTCTGGGTACTCACTCACCACTCTCACCTCAGTGAGACTCTTTTCCTTGCCCTCCTTGCCTATGACATAGGCCAAGTATGCTTGACACCCTTTCCTCATCATACGCCTTGCTCTTATGGCCGATATGATACAAGGGTTGAATTTCCCTCTATCTCCCTCGAAGCATAGAGTGTTTCCTTCTCCATCCTTTAGTTCTAACACCTTGGTGTAGCAATCTACCTTCGCATGGTGTTTTTCGAGCCAATCCATGCCAAGTATAGCATCAAACTCGAGCATATCTAACGGCACAAGGTCACCCGTTAGACAGTGCCCCCCTATCCCTACGTTACACGAGGGATAGTAGTGTTTCCGCTCTACATCATCTCCCAATGGCGTAGAGACCAGCAAAGGTTGCATCATTGCTACCAAAGGCATGTTCAATCCCTTGGCAAACGCTTCGCTCACAAACGAACGTTGTGCCCCGGTATCGATGAGAATTCTCGCATCCTTATCGTTGATCTTTAGTGTTCCTACATATATAAGTCATGTAAGACACCCTAGTCGTCGTCCCGACAGAAAAGGACCGGACGGAAAAATTTCAGCCTAGAATTACCCTATACCCGGTCGGGTATCTCTCGAATTCTTAAGGGGAAACCCCCCTGTTTTCCTTGCTCGGTCGAGTACCAGCCTCGAATTCGGGCAAAATGTCAATACCCGGTCGGGTATATACTATACCCGGTCGGGTATCACTCAAAATCCACAAATAAAAGCTCCCTGTTTTCTACGCTCGATCGAGTACACGCTTCGAAGTTCAAAATCTACACATACCCGGTCGGGTATATAGCCATACCCGATCGGGTATTGCTCGAAATGTCAAAAATAAGGCATCCTGCCTTGGCTGCCCGAACGGGTGCACACTTCAAACTCGAAGCATAGCTTATACCCGGTCGGGTCTAAAGGAGTACCCGATCGGGTCCTTCATAATTTTGAAGATTTTTCAACCCATTTCATGAGCAAATACGTGTGAAATCAAGAGATTACCTGCAATGGAGTCCGGGTTGGCCCGAGCATCAGCCTCGGTCATTGCATACACCCGTGCTTGGGTCCTCCCTTGGTTAACGGATGCGGCGTTGCTAGCCGTGGGTCCGCTCCTCCCCGTGCCGGCCTGAGACGGCCCCGCACGTCCCCTACTAGTCGTAGGTCCTCCCATGGCTCCCGATGGTCCTCCCCCGTTCAGCATTGGACAAGAGGATTTGAGGTGGCTCGTGCTACCGCATTTGAAGCACCGGGGTGGTTCATTGCACCTTCCCCCGTGGTTCTTACCGCAATTTGCGCACCTGGGTGGTCCCACACCCCCCGGTTTGGGCCCTTGCCCTCCTGAACCTTTGTTCCTTTTCGCCGGTGGTGCCGGCGCCCTGAATGAATTGCCACCCCCAGCGTGATGCTTCCGGGTGTGGTCTTGGGGTCCCGAGTTTCCCCATCTTCTCTTCTTCGCCTCCTCGGCGTCCCTCAACTTCCTCTCGTTCCATTGGGCTTCCCCAAGGAGCCCCTGATCGACAATCTGGCTAAATGTCATGTTGTGATGGTAAGTAGCCCGGTCACGGATGTCCAATTGTAGAGCATCCCAAAAATGATTGGCCATTCGATTTTCATTCAGAGAGTATTCTGGGATGAATCGGGCCAAGTCACGGAACCTTTGTTCCAATTGCCTCACCGAGCAACCATCCTCCTGTTTCAGGTTTGTGTACTCCCTTCTTTTGAGATTGACTTCAAAAGTTGAGTAGTACTGATTATAGAATTCCACTTCGAACTTCTCCCAAGTGGCCTCACCGTGGAACTTTCCTTCCACGCCTTCCCACCATACAGCAGCTACCCCTTCCAGTAGCCTGGTGGCAACCCTCAACTTCACGTCGAGTCCAATTTGCATATCCCTAGAAGCATCATTCAGCTTCTTAATCCAGTCGGCGGCCTCGGATATGTCGCCCTTGCCATCAAATGATTTGCACCCCAAGGCCCTGGCCTCCTTGAGGTACTTGGAGATACGCACCATCGTGTCTCCTCCAAATGCTCCGGATGGAGCACTAGAAGCACCTCGGCTTCCCTGCCCCATGGTTTGCCTAGCCTGCCTAGCTTGGCGCCTCTGCTCTCTCTTTGCTTTATTCTCGAGGTACCACTCTAGTACCTCACTCATACGGTCGTAATGTGGATCATCATCCTCATCTTCTTCCTCACAGTCCTCCCCGTTGTACGGGGTCTCCTCTTGCTCTGTGCTTGGAGCATAGGTGAAGTCGTCCGGTTCGGTGGCCCATGACGGGTGCACGGAACCGACGCGTGTGCTGCTTGTCGTCGGCGTGGTAGAACGCCCACGACCCCTGCCTCGGCCTCCTCCTCGGCTTTGGCCCCGGCCTCTACCCCTAGAGGTCCGTGATTCCGCCCGAGTGGCATGCCCGGTGGCCCCCGGCACATGCCCTGTCGGGTTCCTCCTAGTTATCCTGCGTCCACCCTCCATTTCTGAAAGAAATAAGGAATGAGTCATTAGACTCGTTTCAATGTCAATTGACGGATTAGTACGAAAGACACCACTTGGTCCAACATTATGGCCAACAAACTGTTAAGGGCACCGTCTTAACAATAAGAGGTCAATAACTTTGTTTCCAACGGTTCCTTAAGTACAAAAACTGTTGCTCATGGTTTTATTCAAAACTTTTTGAGGATAACCATATTGAGAGGTTAATTATATAGTTTAGAAATCGATGGCTCTGATACCACTTAATTGTCACGCCCCGGACCGCATCCGAGCCACGTAGACAACCGCCGTACAACCCGATAAGAACAACAACAGTTCATCCCTATTGAGTTGTACAAGGCGTCCGATTGATCCTATTGCCAAACCGATTAGTAAACACATACAATCAACATCAATATCATAATAAAACAAATGCGGAAATAATAAAATGTTTGATACTTAGCCACACGTGGCAAACATGGGCACGCAGGCCCCCAACTGTTTTGATGAAAATATTGTTCAAAAATCCATGAGCGGTTTATACATTTGAAATAAGAATGGAAGCACGAACCACGTCTTCCTTCTCGATCAGTCACCCTAGGCAAAGGTGCAGGTAGTAGGGCTCTAGCCTCAACCTGAAAAATGTGAGGGCCCCCGGAGGGGTCAGTACTCCATAGAAGTACTAGTGACAAGCAGGCTATATGAAGAATAACTAATGTTTCAGACACGAGACCCAAAAATAGGGTGATACATATATATATATATATATATATATATATATATATATATATATATATATATATATATATATATATATATATATATATGTGACTCATTCATCCGATGATACATACTGTATATATATGTAAAATACTCGACCCGTAGGTCATTTCATTCAAAGAGTCTTTTAGAGATAAAGTTCTTACCTGACCTTTCTCACCCTTTTCCCGAATGCCTAGCTCACCAGCTACATTCTACATTCATAATATCCTACCGAGTTTTGGGAGCACTTAGCATCCCGAGGATACTCAACCCCAACCGAGTTTCAGGATCATTAAATGTTCCGGGGATGCTCAACCCCAACCGAGTTTCAGGATCATTTGTAGTCCCGGGGATGCTCAACCCCAACCGAGTTTCAGGATCATGTATGGTCCCGGGGATGCTCAACCCCAACCGAGTTTCAGAATCATTTAATGTCCCGGGGATGCTCAACCCCAACCGAGTTTCAGGATCATTTATAGTCCCGGGGATACTCAACCCCAAACTAAATCCTCACCAAACCCTAACCTGGATATGGCTAACCTTTCGTTCCTTCAACTATGGACAATACCTAGCCCTATAGTCATATAATCATCCTTAGGAACCAATGCGGGCGGGTCCCACTTGAACGGCCCACATTAACTCGCTCAAAATTGTCCGTTTTGAGCATAACCCAATACTCGATCGAGTATTAACCCATACTCGGTCGAGTACAGGAGACAGTAGTCTACAAGGTTGGTTTTCAACAAATACCCGGTCGGGTATGTGTCAATACCCGGTCGGGTATGGCAGTTGACTTGGTGGTCAACGCCCGTTTGACCACCCAAACGGAGTCCGATTAACTTGAAATTTTATACACATTTACTTCTTGATGTCCTTGATCCAAAAATACCATTTTGGACCCCTGGATCATCACACAAAATGTGTTATCACATTTTTAATCACCAAACCTACATAACATGCTTTTCAACTATGTTTCATGCAAAATCATGGCATAAGCAAATACTTGATTATCTTTAATCATTCCACAAAACATATCCTTGATTACTTTAGGTAATCTCATGCCTCACGCAAAAGTTATAAAGCATAAAGCCGTCTTCTCACCTTAATGAAGCTTATGAAGTTCTAGCCTTCCCGATTTAGCTCCGACGAAACTCCGGCGAACTTCAACGAACTCCGGCGACAACTCCGGCGACCTTTTCAACCCCGTGAAAGTTCCTTGAATACCTTAGACAAGTTACTAACAAGGTTTTATCATCATAAAACCCACAGTAATACAAATAACCTCAAAAAGGTTATTTTCCGGCGAACCGGTCACTTTGGCTTCTAAGTCCGTTCTTGGACTTAGAACTACCTTCCAACCCCTCTTTCTACACATCCCAACGTGTAGAACGTTACTAGGGTGTGAAATATGATTGAATAATCATAAAAGAGTATTGAAGAACAAGAAATGGGATTAATGGAGTCCTTACCTTGCTAAACACAAGTTTTTCCTCTCCAAAACCAACTTTTCTCTTCTCTATTCCCTTCCTTCTTCCTCCCCTTGCTTTGTGCGAAAATGGTGGATGAAAAATGGAGTTTTAGCAGAGCTTCTCTCCCTATGATTGAGGTCTGGGTCGAGTGGATGAGGTGTGGGGGGTGAGGATGGTTCCTTCTTTTGGCTCATTCATAATAATGTGGGAGGAGGGCCCCTTTCTTTTCTCATCTTGTCTCCCACTCATCTCCAGCCTCAATCAGCAGCATTAGGTGCGGCTCCCTTTGACATTTGCAGCACCAAATTCGTGGGGTGGCCCCCACTCATGTGGGAGTCCATCCCTATATGTTCCCAAGTGTACAATCGGTCCCGAAAGTTGTATTTTCCGAACTGTTTTAAGTATATTTTATTTTATCGGGTCAAATAAAATATAACACTTGTTCCCAATCCTTATTGGACCTTAGGATCAATATGCATTCTCCAACTTTAATTTAAAAGTCTCCGAAATCCCTTTTCGGGCTGTTATCTAATAAATTGCTGATACCGATAATTTGGCCCGTTTGACCAACCGGTCAACCTTGTGCCATTGTCATGGCCCAATTAGAATATCCACCACCATATACATATTATCTAATCCAAGATTAATATAATATGTGGTCCCGATAATATCGGGCGGCCCCACATCCGGTGTGGGCCCCACGTGAATTTTACTATTCACGTAATAGAAATGATAAAAATTTTACAATCACGTAAAAATGCTTTTATACATTTCTCAAGGTTCAATACATAATTTGGTACAATACGAATACTCGGGGGCGGTGTTACATATCAGCCCAAAACTCTTTTTGTCAAATTGAACAAAATAACCGACCGATGTTACGCACTCCATAATCATCTGTACCCATCTATCTTCAAATCCCATGCATTCCATGATCTCTTTTAAAAAATTCCAGTCTACTCTATCATAGGCCTCACTCATATCGAGTTTTAAGGCCACAAAACCCTCCTTCCCTCCTTGTTTCCTTTTCAACCAGTGTTGTGTCTCAAAAGCCACTAGGATATTGTCAACTATCGACCGACCGACCCGGTATAAATGCGCTTTGATTTTCCCCAATTAAATCCCCCAACAATCCTTTCATACGGTTAGCGAGAAGTTTAGAGAAAATTTTGTATACCACGTTACATAGCGCTATAGGCCTCCAATCCCCCATATCCACTAGCTTCTCCATTTTAGGGATTAATACAATATTTGTGAGATTTATATCCCACCACTTCAGGTCCTACAATATCCCAATACTTTTGGAAAAATGCCGTATTCATACCATCCATACCTAGGGCTTTTTCTGGATGCATATCAAAAGCTGCTTTTTTGACTTCCTCAGCCGTAATTGGCCTCATCAACTTCCTGTTATGTTCCGGCAACACCCTTCCCATCGGTCCCAGCATTGCCTCTGTTTTGTTGTTCGGCCACCCCTGAAACAGATTAGTAAAATAATTTTGTATCACAAGTCACAACATGACAATTCGCTAAACATATGAAGTACGGTGTAACTCTTTAGACATACCGGAGTATCACTTTTTCTCTATTAGACTCTTACGGAGTACTTAATTGGTTAAAGAAAAAAATCAAGTCTTATTATAATTTTATTACTTTTACAAAAGGATTATTAGCTTATTTTATCTCAAACTATTATCAAATTCACAAATTTATCACACACTTTCAGTTTTATCAAAAAAAGACTCACACTTCATGTATTTCAACAATTATGATTTTCTTGTTTTCTTTTTCAAAATTACACATTTTTATCAATACCAATAAGATATAAGCAATACAAAATTGTAAACCTAAACTAAAAAGAAGTGAAAAAATATGAAATATAAATATAGTTTTCTTCTTAATTTTTACCAATTCACCCATTGAAAGTGTAATTGTGAGAATAATTGAAGTTTGAATCTTTTTTAATAAAAATGAAAGCATGAGATAAATTTGTGAATTTCATTATAGTTGGGAATATATTTAGCTAATAATCCTTTAAGTAAACGATTTTCTTCTTGTACAACTTTCCTAAAATTAAACCTTTTCCTGCAAGAATTTGATTCTTGCCAAGTATCGTGGCAGCCAGGCTAATCTCATAGGGAGTGGCTAACCGCAACCTTCTCCGTCAATAAATCAAATCTCCCATCAGTTTATACGTATTCATTCAGTCAATTCAGTTTTTTCCTGCAACCCAACAGCGTCAATATATTCACCCAGTAGAATTTTATTTAATTAAACCCTTAATTTTATTATTATACATTAATTCTTTTTCATTCTTTTTTTGTGAACGATTGTGATTCAAAAGGTCAAACATTCCGATGTAAAAATAAATAAATTTGGAGTTTAATTTGATTTTTTTATTGTCACATCAAACCTATTGTTTCAAAAAATATTTGAGAAAAATGTAAATTTTGTTTTAATCATTGGATCTTAATTGTAGCATTTGGATCTAAGATTTTAGGCATAAAATTCTCAAACAGATGAAAATTTATAATTATTTAAAACTTTATATAAGCAATATTAATGTCATATGATAGATAAAAAAAACTATGAATTTTGATATATTCTTTATAAACATTGAAATAAAAATAGAAAAGTAATAATATTTTAAAGAAAATTGGGATATTTAATATTCTGGAGCCCACTCTTGTGAAACTTACTAGTTACTGCGCATATAGTGCGCATACTCCGCACAAAAGCTTGCTCCTGCTGCTATCTTCTCTCTCAGTTAATACGGGTATCTAATATGGCCCCCACTTTAAGACCCTCTAAGTGGTACCTTAGCCTATCGAGGTCAAAACTTAAATGTAACCTATTGACTCCTAAAAACCCTCCATCCCATGTATTTGGATGTGCCAAATGGGTAGAATGACACCTCAGGGACGGGGGATTTGGCACCCCATATTCACGCCCTTTGCCAGAAGAAAGAATGGGGGGAGCTGTCCTGATGTGGAGAGATAGTGCAGACCCCAACAACAAAATATCTTTTTTTTTTATTAAAAGTGTTATAACTTTTTAATTTGTATTTATTTTATTTCAAAAATTATATCAAAATTCATACCTTTCAATGTCATATATATAAAGTTAGAAAAAAAACTCAACTATTGGAGATATTTTCATTAATTTTTTTTCTTAATATATTCAAGTGCTAAAATTAAGATCTCTTGATTAATATATTCTTTTTACATCTTTCAATTTTTTTTCCAAAATGGATCTGAAAAAAAAAAAAATTAAATTCCAAAATTATTTATTTTTACATCGGAATGTTTGACTCTTTTCAATCTTAATTATCTCGAAAAATTATCCGATAAGAAATAATGTATAATAATAAAAATAAGATTTTAATTGAATGAACTTTGTAAGATAATATATCGAGGGTGACTGGATTGCAGCAAAAATTGATTTTTTGATGGTGTGATTGTGAATACGTATAAAGTCCTGAAAACATCAAAATTGGGTTTTCACCTTCAGGGTTGCGATCAGCCTGATGTATGATATAGGCGCCGGCAGCACTGCAAGCTGCCAGCTACCGCGAATTGCACTCAATATTATGGGTAAAGGAGGGCTAGAAGAAGAAGAAGACATTGTTTGTTTGGACGCTTCGTTCTTCATCAATGACAAGTATGCATCTCCGTGTGTGTATATATATGGATATTGTTTGTATTTCCTTCTTGAATTTTGGGTATTGAGTTGCTTCTTGCAGCTATGAGCTTACGACATTCTCATTCGGTTCTCAAGTTCTTCAGCTATACTGTCTCCAATCAGCTTCCAGTAAGCCTTTCTTTTCTTCTTCTTCTTCTTCTTCTTCTTATGAAATTAGCTAATATTACAAAGTAAAGCTTTTACCATGTAATGTCTTCTATGCTCTATCAGTCTATGTGCTGGTTCAGAAATGTCAGTTTCTTCTTTGTCATGAGCTTTTTCATTGGATGAAACTAGCCTTTTTTTACTATTGAAGTCTTTTCCTGATTAAAATTGATTGATTAATCAATGCATAGTATATTCTGCGGCAAAGCTATATATGAGGTATGGATATTGGGTGCTTCACTAAGTTCTGTTGTTTGACTGAACTCCAATAAGCTTGTACGGAGTATTTATTTCTTTGATGATGACTCTTAAAGAGTAATAGATTGATTCGGTGTTAGCACCTGACTGTAAAATTAAGTTATACTGAGACTGTTATGTACGATAGTATTTGATTTTTTCTTCTATGCCCTAACAAAGAAGAAATGTCATAATTGAAAATGTGTTTCTTTTCACGTAGCTGGTGTGTTTTTTCTATTCCCATGTATATTGCTACTTGGAACTGACTAGATGCATAATGCACGTCAGCTGATTTTGATTTGACGGGACAGTTAGTGTGGCCTGGAGCAGTGCTCTTGAATGATTATCTCGCGAAGAAGGCTGACATCATTCGAGGGTGTTCTGTTATTGAGCTTGGATCTGGTGTTGGTTAGTAATTCCATAAAGATTTCTTTCTTAACATACCCATTCTTCCGTTGATGGAAGGGGAGGAGTGGACATACTCTGAAGCTGTCATTCCAATGATTTTTTGTTGTTTGTGATTGCAACTTATGTTTTTATATCAATTGAGTGAAGCTTTTGGAATTGATTGTCAAGTGAAAGCAAGTTTAAAAAATAGAAGGATGTCTTATTTTCGCCTTAACTGTAATGATTTGAAAAAATTTCTTATATCAGACTAAAACATAAACAAAGCGCACATATACGACTATCATTATTTTTTCCTGAAATAGGACTTGTTCAATCCTAATAGGGGAAGTTTTATACTCTTAATAGGATCAAGTAAGTCCTATTTCGGGGAAAAATACATGTAGTTCTATTTGTGCATTTTGTCTAAGCTTTAGTCCCATTTAGAGCAATTTCTATAATGATCTTTCCAGGATTATTTCCGTGGTATCAGAAAACCAATCCCCCCCATCCAATCCTTTAACACGATGACTTCTCTCTTTCACCATCATCTATCAAGGGATTTTCCCCTACATTAATTTTATTTGGCACCCATTTACTAATGTGAAACATTTGAAAGTTAATTACTATCAGTTTTATTATGTTAAGGGTTTTGAAAGAGATTCTACCAGGCGGTTTGGATGGAGGGTTTTGGAGGGGAAAACTTTG